TGGGCTCTATTTTGTCCCCAGGCCTGTCCCACAGCAAGAGCAAACATTTGACAGAGACATGGAGGCAGCCTCCAAGGCATCTCAACTTAGCCAATAAAACAAGCCATTAGCTGGGCATGATCCCTCACACCTGTAATCCCAGCACTTTGGGAGGCTGAGTCAGAAGGATCCCTTGAGCTCAGGAGTTCAGAACCAGCTTGGGCAATGTGGTGAAACTCCGTCTTTACTAAAAATGCAAAACTTAACTGGGTGTGGTGGGGTGTGCCTGTAGTCCCAGCTACTTGGGAGGCTAAGGTGGGAGAATTGCTTGAGCTTAGGGAAGTGGAGGCTGCAGTGAAACCAAGATCATGCCACTCCACCTGGGAGACAGCGTGAGACCCTGTCTCCAAATAAAAAAAAAAAAAGCCCATTGAACTTTTAGGTTACTTTTCTCATTGTCACAGAGTAGCATGAGCCCCAGGTACCTTCCCCCACCCCTGATCCTTACCTTCCCCCACCCCTGATCCTTACCTTCCCCCACCCCTGATCCTTACCTTCACCCTAGACAGTGAGAAAGGGGTAAAGCTTAGTTATGAGTTGATAGTCAGAGGTGAGGAAGGGTAAAGATCAGGAGTGGATGAGGGTGAGAGGTGAAGTCAATTCCCTTGCCAATGTAACTTACTCATATTTTTAAGCTAAAATGTCAAAATTCACCTTCAGAGTCATGTACGTGAATGTCAGATTGCCCTCTCAACCTAGGCAAAGTGTCTGCAGCCTCTCGAGGCTCTTCTTTTATACACAAGTAAGTGCTCTTGGCCGTGGCGGTGGCTGCACCACCCCTGGAATGTGTCTGTCACCCAGGAATGTGAAGGAAGCCAAACTTCTCCAGAGCCCCAACCCGCCAGACCCACCCCGGGCTGAGCCTTGGAGAGGCAGAGCAGCATACCCATGGTGGCCACCAGGGGCCGCTGCTGGGGCACAGAGGGAGCTGCAGAGTGCAGCCTGTGCAGAGCCTCTCCAGCCTGAGAGCAGAGACCAGATCTTGGTCACCCCCCAGGACACCAGACCCTGCCCTAACCTCCTCCCCTGTATACCCCAAATCTGCACCCGTGGGGAAGCTGCCTGGAGTCCAGGGTTCTTCCATGAGCGTCTCTGTGATCTCCAGCTAGCCCCTGCCTCCCGGACCTTAGCCTCCCAGCTCTCCAGAGATAGCAGGATTGAATGAATTTCAAGGATCTTTGTGGCTCTCATTTTTGGCAAGTCTGGGAGACTCAGGTAGTCCTGCCACACTCTGCTGATGTGGAAATGAGGAAGGGGGCTAGGGTAGAGGTCTTTGAGGGAAGAGCCATGTAGAAAGAGGATCAAACCTGTGACCTAGAGGTCTATGACTCGCAACTATGTGGTTTAAACATTTTTCCTCAAAAAAAAAAAAAAAAAAAAAAGAGAGAGAGAAAGAAATTGGCTGGGTGCAGTGTCTCACCCCTGTAATCCCAGCACTTGAGAAGGCCAAGGCGGGCAGATCACCTGAGGTCAGGAGTTCAAGACCAGCCTGGCTAACATGGTGAAACTCCATCTCTACTAAAAATATAAAAAATTAGCTGGGCTTGGTGGTGGGTGCCTGTAGTCCCAGCTGCTTGGGAGACTGAGGCAGGAGAATCACTTGAACTGAGGAGGTATAGTTTGCAGTGAGCTGAGATCACACCATTGCATTTCAGCCTGGGTGACAGAGAAGAACAACTTAGTCTAAAAAAAAAAAAAGACGCTGGGCGTGGTGGCTAAAGCCTGTAATCCCAGCACTTTGGGAGGCCGAGGCGGGTGGATCACGAGGTCGAGAGATCGAGACCATCCTGGTCAACATGGTGAAACCCCGTCTCTACTAAAAATACAAAAAATTAGCTGGGCATGGTGGCACGTGCCTGTAATCCCAGCTACTCAGGAGGCTGAGGCAGGAGAATTGCCTGAACCCAGGAGGCGGAGGTTGTGGTGAGCCAAAATCGCGCCATTGCACTCCAGCCTGGGTAACAAGAGCGAAACTCTGTCTCCAAAAAGAAAAAAAGACATTTTCCTAAGGTGACGTGCATTTATCCCTTTACTTTTTTTTCATGGCTTTTTGGAAATTTTTAAAAACTGTCCAGTTTTGAAATGTTCATTAAGCATCTTCTTTTTTTTTTTTTGAAACGGAGTCTCACTCTGTTGCCCAGACTGCTGGGGTGCAGTGGTGTGATCACAGTTCGTTACAGTATTGAACTCTTGGGCTCAAGAGATCCTCCAGCCTCAGCCTCCCAAGTCGCTAGTATTACAAGCATGAACCACCGTGCCTAGTCATTTTTTTTTTTTTTTTTTTTTTTTTTTGTGGAAACATTGTCTCCCTATGTTACCCAGGCTGGTCTCAAACTCCCAGTCTGAGGCGATCCTCTGGCCCTCAGCCTCCCACAGTGCTGGGATTATAGGCGTGACCCACTGCTTGCAGCCTAAGCGCCCTCTATACAGTAGTCACCATGCTTGACGCTAGTGGTACAGAGATGCCCTGTGATATATCATAACAAGTATGAGTTTCTTCCTGGGTGCAACTCTGCCTTGTGCTACATGCTAGGTGTGTGATTTTGGCCAGTTTACTTGTTTTCTCTGAGTCTCAGTTTTCTCATCTGTTAAATGGGGCGGTAGCACAGATCTCCTAGAAATGTTGCAGGGATTCAAGTAGATAATGCGTGCAAAGGGTCTGGCACACACAGAAGTCTCTGAGTAACTCTTGGTCACCTTCCTCTTAGGGAATACACACCCTTTGGAGATGTATGTGCCTGTCCCTCCTCTCTGCCAAACCCATAAAAATCATCACCCTGGGCCAGAAACCCATACCTTGGCACCATGTTCTTGGTCCCCACATAAGCATTTTAGAACTCAATTTTATTTCTTGGTGAGTCTAAAAAATTGACCCTGTCTGTGTTTCACACCAAGCCATCAAGTAAAGCCATGGAGCAGCTTACAAGGTGACACTTGCCAGGATAAACAGGCATTGGCGGCCACGGAAGTGACGCCAGGACTGGGGACAGATTAGAGCACTAGCATGGTGGCCTTTCATTTGTCCCTGATCCTTGCCACCAGCATAGAGGCCTGGATTCATGGCGCTGACCACGAGAGGACGTGGAACTGGAGAAGCTCTCCCTGGGAGGGGAAGGGAGGGATGGCGGGGCCTGGGTGTGGAGCTGGTTCTCAGAAAAGGTGCCCAAAAGGCTCTGGAGAGGCCAATTCGGGCTCCTTGCCTGCCCCACCCAGCCTCCCCCGCCCCGACAAGACAGTCAAGCAGCCGCCTTCCAGCCAGCCTGAGCTTACTCTTGGGGGGAAAAAAACCTCTTGAAGAGATTCAGAAATGTTTTGAATCTTGGCAGCTAAAAGAACTTCACACTCCTGCTGAGTCTGTGGGCTGAGGAAGGGCTGAGGGGGCGTTTGGCCTCTGCAGCGCGGCAGAAGGCTTGAGATGGAGGGGAACGGGGAGGAGCCCGGAGAGCCAGAGTTCTTGGGTTTTCTCTGTTGTTTTGCCATCATCTATCTGTCACTCCCTGACTCTCTCCTGCAGATTGTCTTTTAGGGAGGCTCTGGGGGACTTGGTTCCATGCATGACTTTAGGTCCCAAAATGAAAGATAAGCCACGGGCAGGGCCAGCTTCTCTTCATTATACTGCCCTCGGGGCCCAGCGTGGTGCCCGATGTGAAGTAAGTGCTTGATTAAGACTCATTGGATGAGGCTGGGCGTGGTGGCTCATGCCTATAATCCCAGCACTTTGGGAGGCCAGGTGGATTGGGTGGATCACCTGAGGTCAGGAGTTCGAGACCAGCCTGACCAACATAGTGAAACTCCATCTCTACTAAAAATACAAAAAGTAGCCAGGCGTGGTGGCGTGCTCCTGTAATCTCAGCTACTCAGGAGGCTGAGCAGGAGAATCGCTTGAAGACAGGAGGCGGAGGTTGCAGCGAGCTGAGGTCACACCACTGCATTCCAGCCTAGCTCCTGGTGACGGAGTGAGACTCTGTCTAAAATATATATATATATATAGGATGGACTGAAGGAAGGAAGGAGAACATTCTTTGCGTTCCTTCATGCTGAAGCACCTCTCAGTCATTTGGATGTTATTTTCACCCTGTTTGCGGTTGTAGACTCTCATCTTGTCCAGGCTAATATCTGGACACCAGGGCTGAATAAAATGGCTCTTGGTCATTTGGGATTCTGAGGCTGGGGCCACACCCATGCACCCTCCTCACTGGGGATTGCACCACTTGTGTAGGGACTGCCCAGAGCTCAGTTCAAGCTCCGGAAAATGACTGCGCATCCCTTCTACCTCCCCGCCAGCGACCTCACCTTTAGGAGGCTGTGTCTGAACTAACTTCCCAGGACCCCGTAGAGCAATCCCGCATATTACCAGTCAGTGCCTGGGCTTAGGCGTGCGGAAGCCAGCTCGTACCAGTTTCCCAGAGCCAGCTGTTAGCACCTCTTCCTAACTCTGTGGTCAGTGACATCATGTTGGTAGATCGAAAGTGGCCATGACAGGAGGACTGATACCATGGAAATTGGCAAACACTGCACATCCATGTCCCCCTCCTCCAGGAACCAGTCATTCAACTTTTACCAGCCCAACACTGGAGAGGGGGTTTCAGGCAGATGTTCCAGGTCATCTCGACCACCAGAAGTCTTGCCCAGGACCTCTGCTGTGAGAAGCGTGGCCTCCCCAAAACAAAGCCAGAGGGAGAGGCAGTTAACTTCGGAGCTCTGAAAGGAGTGCACAGACACAGAAAGCCATGTCTGCACCCCCTGCCAGGGTCTGGGCTTCAGAGGGCTCAAGGGCACATGTCTGGGGCCTTTGGGAGGGCCCATTCTGTTGGTTGTCTTGGAGAAAGGGAGGAGGGAGGTGACTGCCATGGCCCAGGGACTAGCCTCCTGGGGACATTGTCAGTCTCTGCTTCCTGACCCCCAGGATCCCAGCACTAAGTCCTCTTCACTCACCCAGCTCTTCCTTCTCTCTCTCCTAGACCCAGAGTCCCAGAGAAAGAGGACAGTGCAGAATGTCCTGGATCTTCGACAGAACCTGGAAGAGACCATGTCCAGCCTGCGAGGGTCCCAGGTGACTCACAGGTAAGCTCGAGCTGCAGAGAGGGTCATGCCCTCTGCCTTCCTGGCTCTCCACCGCATTCTGGAGGGCAGGGCCCCAGGGTCTCTCCACGTGGCCTGAGGCATGGAGCCACTGTGGAAGGGGGAGAAAACCCATTTGTCTCAACAGGAGAAGCTTGGCTTTCTCTTCTATCTGCTTGTGCCTGAGCATTTCACTTCATTTCATCAAATTAGCTGGAAAATCACTAGCCTAGGAGCCAGAAAGCAGAAGCCATTACTCAGCTCAATGTGTTATCTTTAATACTCACTTTCCCTCCTTAGACCTCGGTCTCCTCATCTGTCAAGAGAAAGTTTACTAAATGCTCTCTTCCTGTTCCAAAGTCTCTATCAAACTAGGGTTCTAGAACTGGTTCCTTTCGCAATACCTGTATCTTTTCACTCTTGTGTCAGCTAGGTGCCCCCAGCCTCTTCCACCAGCCGTTGAGGGAAGCTTGAGTGCTCAAGAGGATGTACACAATGTCACCCAGCTCCATGCCCTGTTAGGTGTATCCCCCTAGCCCACTCCCTGCAGAGACCTCACAGCCTCCAGCTTCGTGGGGCACTCACCCCCTCCCACGGCACCTCTCTCTGGAGCAAAGTCCTGGCCACAGGCTCTGCTGTGACTCAGAATTTCCCCTGCTGGCTCCTTGGACTGCCCAGATGAGCTCATGCTGTCAGCTCCAAGTGGGGCAGAGGGCTGGGCTAAGCTCTGGGGACAGAGGGAGGGAGAACAGACAGCCAGACTGGGAAATCATGGGGGCCGTGGGGCAGGAAGGCTGTGTGAGGGCTAGGAAGCCTCCCCAGTTAGACTGGAAGTAGATTATTCTCCAAATCCTGGGGCCAGAAAATTGAGAGCAAAGTTGGGGCATGGGCACTGGAAAAGGACCGACCCATAGCCAGGGTGTGGCCATTTGGGATTCCGAGGATGGGGCCACACCCATGGACATATTTACATACCACCAATGACAAAAAACTCATCGCCTTTAAAGACAGAGTCTTACTCTATCACCCACTGCCTCAGCCTCCCGAGTAGCTGGGATTGCAGGCATGTGCCATCAAGCCCGGCTAATTTTTATATTTTTAGTAGAGGTGGGCTTTCACCATGTTGGCCAAGCCAGTCTTGAACTCGTGGCCTCAGGTGATCCACCCGCCTCTTCCTCCCAGAGGGCTGAGATCACAGGCATGAGCCACCGCGCCTGGCCAACACACCAGCTTTCAGTAACCCCGGTGCACTGTGGGATTGCAGCGACTGATGGGAACTGCGCCTGGTCTTCAGTAGCTTTCACCCATCAGCTCTAGTTCTTCCTACTTAGACCCTCTCCTTCTTCCTTGTCCTACTCCTCCCCTATCCCCATCCGATGCCCGCATCTTGGAGACTCAGCCCTTTACTCCCAGACATCTTGAATATTTTAATGATAAGATAAATCAAAACTCTCTGGGGATTACCTCTGCTCAGGCCAAGAGAACCCTGAGTACTGAAAGGGACGTGACCAAGGAAGTCCTGGGAAAAGGTGAATAGTGGGGGCTCCAGCACCCCCTTACCTCTGTCTTCTACCTCCATCCCTCATAGCCCCAGTCCCCCCAGCAGGAACCCAAGTAGAGCCCAGGTGTGGCAGAGCCTAGGACCCAGCGAATGAAATCTTGGACATCTGCCTGCCCCCATCCGAGGAAATCGTTGGAACATCTCTCAGCACCCAGTCACCCACCAGCCTCAAGCCAAAGACGCCAGAAAGTGCTTAGTTGCTGAGAGGGTCACACCTCAAATGACTCACTCACAGGGGCAAGGCAGAGGCAGCAGCTCCAGCCTCCTGGGGCTATTGACTCAGAGCAGCCGGCCCCCACACACAGCTTGATCCTCAGCAGGCGATATTGGTTTTCTGCTTCTGGTGGGGAAGGGGAGGCCTCAATCAAGCCTTCTGCATAATGCTGACTGGCTTAGGGGGAGAGTCTAGGGCTCTGGCTTCTGCCTCCCTTAATAGGAAGGGAACCAAGAGCCCCGAAGCTGGTTTTTCTGTTTACTGTGGACCCAGAGCCACTTCCTCTCTTAGGCTTAGGTTTATATTATTCCTGTTCCACGCTGATAGCCAAACCCATGATTCCCTGACTTTTTGTGGTTGTTTTTTATATATTTTTAATTTTTTTATTTTTGAGATAGAGTCTCACTCTGTCTCCCAGGCTGGAGTGCAGTGGCATGATCTCGGCCCACTGCAACCTCTGCCTCCCAGGTTCAAGTGATTCTCATGCCTCAGCCTCCCGAGTAGCTGGGATTACAGGCGCCTGCCACCATGCCCAGCTAATTTTTGTATATTTAGTAGAGACGGGGTTTCTCCATGCTGGCCACGCTGGTCTCAAACTCCCAACCTCAGGTAATCCACCCACCTCAGCCACCCAATAATCCTAGGATTACAGGTGTGAGCCACAGTGCCTGGTTGGCTCTTTTACTTTTTAAAAGGGCTTTCTATCAATGAGCCCTTCCTTTAGCCTTGGAAGTAGGCAGGATATATACATACTCCCTGAGTTAAAGAATGAGGCTGGGGGCAGGGAGGTACCTGCCAGAGTCACACTGGGTGATGAGGGTGGGTTCTGCACTCAGCATGCTCAGAACCCATGCCAGCTGTGTGCCAGGCACAGCGCTGGGCACTGGCTCCCCAGAACACACACAAGCTTCATCCTCAAGGAGCTTATAGTCCAGTGTGTGCTTCCTGCAAGGCTGTTTCACCGAGGAACTCCCTGAAAAGGAACTAGATTCAATTCCTGTGCTGCTTCCTCTATTTCTACTGGTTCATTTCTCCCAGTGAGCAGAGTCTGGGTCAGACTGCGGCTGGAGAGGAAATGAAACTGTGTCCACTCCAAAGAGAGGCAAGCCTGAAGGGTGGGTGCAGGGCTGGAATTCAAGAACTGAGGATCTGAGCTAGAATCTTCCTCACCAACCTAGGTCTAGAGATGTGTTTGGGAGAATTTAAAGAGAGAGAGAGAGTGAGCTGTGGAATAGTGAAAGAGGCACTTTTAGTACAAAGAACTAAACAGTGGCAGGCCAGGAGTAGAACCGGGGAACCCAGATGCTGAGTGCAGCCCTTGCCCCTACACCAGTGTCTAACCATGAAGCTAACTACCCAAACCAGCTCCCCTGGAGACCCCCCCACACACCCTCTCATCATGGTTAGCATCATCCTCTTCCTCCCATATCTCATCCCATGGTCAAGGTCTGCTTGCTTTTATCAAGCACTTACTGCATGGAGCCCTGGACTGAGTTTTCTGATGAAAACTTCCTTTCTTTTTACTCACACATCCATTGTGAGTTTGCTCCTCTTTGATTCATTCTTGAGCGCCGACTACAGGCCAGGCACCATGCAAAGTGCTGAAGTACAATAGTGAGTGAGCAAGGCGGGCAGTCACACCATCACCACAGCCTCTGGCTTCAGAGAACATCCATTTCTGTTCAAGGAGATGTGATGTCTAGGTCCATCGTCATTAGAAGCTGAAACAATACACTGTACGAGGCAGAGCTGCAGAATGCAGAGGGGTTCCTAAAGGGCTGCCAGAGGTTGGGTGCAGTCGCTCACACCTGTAACCCCAGCACCGTGGGAGGCCGAAGTGGGAGGACAGCTTGAGTTCAGGAGTCTGAGATCAGCCTGGGCAAATGGCAAAACCCTATCTCTTTAAAAGGTACAAAAATTAGCCAGATGTGGTCATGTGTGCCTGTCTGTCATCCCTGCTACTTTGGGGCTGAGGCGGGAGGATCACTTGAGCCCAGGAGATCAAGGCTACAGTGAGCCATGTTTGCACCACTACACTCCAGCCTAGGCAACAGAGTGAGACCCTGTCTCAAAAATAAATAAATAGGGCAGGCAGAGCCAGGAGGGGAGAGGCTGGGCATGGACCCAGAAGCAGCCGCCACTGATTGCCCTGCCCAGCCAGGGCTCCCTCATCTTGCCCACAGGACTACTGCCAGGACCCCAGCCCACTCAGTTTCAAGAGTGTTTGGATCCCTCCAGTTCTGCTGATCAGAAAACAAGACCATATTTTCTTAGGTTCAATAGAGACAACTTTGGAAATTTTTCTTTTTTTCGAGGAACTTCATAGAAACCAGAATCAATGTCCCACTCCTATTCCAGCCCCCAAAGTGACTAAGCGGTGGATGTGTTCACAGAGGAAAGATTGCTTGGTTTCATGCAATTCAGGTCCAGCCACAGATTGCCTCAGTTGCCCCAGCTTTCTTTTTTTTTTTTTTTTTTTTTTTTTGAGACGGAGTTTCGCTCTTGTTACCCAGGCTGGAGTGCAATGGCGCGATCTCGGCTCACCGCAACCTCCGCCTCCTGGGTTCAGGCAATTCTCCTGCCTCAGCCTCCTGAGTAGCTGGGATTACAGGCACGCGCTACCATGCCCAGCTGATTTTTTGTATTTTTAGTAGAGACGGGGTTTCACCATGTTGACTAGGATGGTCTCGATCTCTTGACCTCGTGATCCACCGGCCTCGGCCTCCCAAAGTGCTGGGATTACTTGCCCCAGCTTTCTTGACCATCAAACCCTGTTCCATTTACTTAGCCCTGTCTGGCTTTAGTTAGGATAGTTTATGGAGACCCTACCTAAGGCTGATTTGGGCTGGCCCCACTGCTAGGCTAGATAGAATTATGGGTCTCAGCCTGAACCCAAGTCGAGGCCACCCCTCCAACCAGATTCCAGCTATATTTCCTCTCTGTAGCCCCCCTGGCCCTATCTTCTTCCCTAGGCATCCAGGCTCTGCTAGTCTCAGGCCATCCAGCACTAACCTGGGCATTGCTCCCTTGGACTTGACCAGGAACGGACTGAGGCTTGGGGCCCTGGACATCCAGCTTCACCCTCACATCCAGTTCCCCATATCCTCTCTTTTGTCCAGTTAAGGCTGCTGCCGTTCTCTGGGAGGCTCTACTTCCCCTGCTGCCCTAGGCCTGTGGCTGAAATCAGTCTTACTGGGGACCTGCCACACATCCCAGATTCCCAAAGCTTTTCCTATATACCGTCTGCACTCTGCTTCAGCTTTCCTGTATCTGATGTTTGGGAATCAGCTAGCCTTCAGCCAATTAATAGAAAAGAGGTGATGGACACAGCCTTAACAAAATGATAAGGCCTTCTAAGCTCAAGTGACCAGTCTCTCTCACTTGCCCCCAAGGTCTGTTGACCCCTTCCATATACCAGGCACTGTGTTCCATCTGTATACATGGGATGCTCACAACTCTATAAGGTAACTTTTATGCCATTATCCCCATTGTACAGATGGGAAAACTGAAGCTTCAGTTAATTATTTGTCTTGAGCTCACTTACTAGCAAATAACAAAAAATTCAAAACCAGGTCATATTACACAATCTAGGCTCTTAACAGTATACAGGATTGCTTCCCTAGCCACTTAAGATCATCTCCTTTGTCAAACAGATAGCATATCACAAAGGTAACATACAATCAGAGGCCTCATGGAGGAGGTGGAGCTTGGGCAGGCGGGAGGAGGTGAGAGGGCCTGTGGGTGGAGGGGAGGCATTGCTGGGGTGCGTGTGAGGGGACAGGGCACACAGCGGCTGTGCTGAGGACTAAGTAGTGCCCTCTGCTCTCCGCCCAGCTCCCTGGAGATGACCTGCTACGACAGCGATGACGCCAACCCACGCAGTGTGTCCAGCCTCTCCAACCGCTCGTCCCCTCTCTCCTGGCGCTATGGCCAGTCCAGTCCTCGGCTGCAGGCTGGTGACGCGCCCTCTGTGGGTGGGAGCTGCCGCTCGGAGGGGTCGCCCGCCTGGTACATGCACGGGGAGCGGGCCCACTACTCCCACACCATGCCCATGCGCAGCCCCAGCAAGCTCAGCCACATCTCCCGCCTGGAGCTGGTTGAGTCCCTGGACTCGGATGAGGTGGACCTCAAGTCCGGCTACATGAGCGACAGTGACCTCATGGGCAAGACCATGACAGAGGATGACGACATCACTACCGGGTAAGCGCGGGGGTTCTTAGAAGGCGAGGGCAGGATGGTGGAAAGACCACAGGGATGGAAGGCCTTAAAAGTGGAGTGGAACTCAAAACAGGGGTTTGGGTTTGCTGTGCTGCGACGAAAGCACACAAAACGGTGCTATGTACACTCCGTGACTGCCTCTGAAATTCCACGTGGTTTATTCCAGACTTGGGTGTGGTGGGCGGGGCCTACATCCGAGGAACTGATTGGTCAATGAAGGCGCCTCCCTCTCATTGGTCTCTGTGGCTGTCATTCTGTGGTATGCCCCACCCTCCTCCCTGGTTCTTGGCCCTCGAGAAACTGGCCCAAAGAGCCTTGGAAAAGCATTTTATTCCCCGCTCTTACGCTAAGTCTGTGCGGACGCTGGATAACTAAAGCTGCTTTCCCATTTGAAAAGAAAAAAAAAAAAAAAAGGATATTAACTATTAAGATCGTATCTCTCTACCTAAGAGGAGAAAATGAGAGCATGTGGGTGAAATCGCTAGTCAAACAGTGAGTAGCAGCCGTAGCTCCACTTCCTTTGCCAGGGGTTCCTGACCCCTCAGTTCCCTGTCTGACCCCGTGGCCCTCAGTCTCTGCCCCTTGGGTTTCTTCCTCTGCGCACCTTCTACCAATCATGCAATTTCCTAATGCCCACGCAGTATGTCAAACCCTTCTTTCCTGCCCTTTGCCCTGCAGGGACCCTCATCTTATTTTTCTCTGCCTTAATTGACAGAGCTGTGCCTGCGCCTTCCAACCTTGGAAGAGTCGGCCAGGACCCCAAGGCCCCAGCACTTCATTCTTGCCGTCCTCTCCTAGTCTGGGAGGATAGGGGAGAAGACAGGAAGAATGAAGGGCTGGAAGCTTCGGGGCATCCTGGCCGACTCTTCCAAGCCCGGAGACCGGAGAGAGGCAGTATCTGGAAGGTTCTCTGGAGCACCTCTTAGCTGACTGCCACTTCCACTCTCCCTTCTTGGTTTGCTGTATCATCCCCTGCCAAGGGACCATACAGGTAGCGGCAGCAGGCCTTCCCTTCCTTCTCAGGGACTTAGTATCTTCCTGCCAGGGACTGCCTCTCCCCAGTGAAAATCCCAGACTTCAAGGGAGTGGAAAGTAGCCTCTCCTCGGAAAAGACGAGAGCCAAGCTCCAGGCCATCTACTGTTCCCTGCTCCCATCTCCACCCCAGCGGAGAAACTGGGAGGGATCTGGTCAGGGCCTGTCCAGCTGATGAGGCCGCTCTGGAGCAAAACAACTGACGCATGAATCGGGTTGTTTACTGCCTGTGAAATCCCAAGGGCCAGCCCCACCTCGCGCTCGCTCTCAGATCCGCCAGCCTGGAGCTGGGACCGGAGAAAAGCCATCCAGTTCACAGGCCCAGAGCTCCTTCTGTGGTTAGAGGCGTGTGCTGGGCAGGAAGGAGAGCCAAGGTGTGTGAGGAACTGCTCCACACAGCCTCTACCCTAGGAAGCTGCCAGGGACTGTCTGAGGAAGTGTCAGGTCATTGCCCTCCTCTGAGAGCTCCGGGAGGGAACAGAGGGTGGCACAAGCCCAGTAGGGCTGAATCTTTAGAAAGTTCCCCCTGTGTTAGAAGGACCATAGCCCCAGACCCTACAGAGCTTCCAGACAGGTGAAGTGATGGGACTCCTGTCCTGCAGAGCTCCCAGACTGATGGAGATGAGACCCCTCTGAGAGCCCCTCACCTCACCAACCCATCTGATGGCAGAAAATACCCCAAGTGTTGGAAGGTACAAGACCCCTGCTTGGAGAAATCCCAATCTGAGGAAGGTGGCAGGACTTCTGGTTCTTAACTAGCTGTATGAGCTTGGGCAAACTAGTTAACCTTGCCAGGCTTTCATTCATTTGTCTATCTGCCAAATGCAGATAATAGTAGAACTTATCTCAGGGCTATGATGAGGGTTGAAGGCATTGATATACGTAAAGTACTTAGAATAATTCCTGGCTCACTGTAAATGGTCACTAAATGATAGCTATTATTTTTGTTGCGATTATTATTTTTATTGTTATTAGAACCCCAGACTGATGGGGAGGCACAACTCTTGCTGTCAGGGGTGTGTAATCTAACCAGAGTGCCACTCACTCAGAATCAACAGCACAGACAGAACTAGTAGCAGCTGGTCAAACCCAGGGACATAGATAATAGAGTGTCGGGGCATGGAATACAGCGAGTAGGGGAAGGAAAAACCCCTTTGTGCCCCTCCAGCACCCTTGCTTTATCCTCTTTTCTCCAGGCAAGACATGTGCTCCTGGATCCATTTTTTTAAAAACTAGAGTTCACTGAGGCTAGCATGAAAAGAACTTGCCTTTCCTGCACAGCCCCCAGCTGTAAGCCCAGGGAGAGTTTGCATGGGGAACACAGAGTCAGTTGCTGGCATGACAATATCCATAAAGTGGACCTTACTGTGAACTGTGATGCTAGTTTACAAGATAATTTCACATGCATTTTTTATGGTCAATCTTCAATTAACGGTAACCCTTAATACGAGTTTGTTAACTTCCCTGCCAGGACTGTAAACATGGCCATCTTTAAATGTGCTTAGGAAGTCAGAGTTAAAGGGAATCAACTTATAATCCCCAGTAATTTAATGTAAACAGTCACTCCTCAATTATGTGTTTTGTTGTTTTAATTAGTAACAGGGCATCCCGGATTCCAGCAGCCCGTTAAGTGAACATGCAAACCTGAGCTGTCCTTGCTCAGTCTCCTGTCGGTCTTCTCATCCCCACTGTGGTTTCCATCTAGATGTCATAATTTAGAAAATGTCCTATTTCTTTGAAAATTGTTTCTCTAGTGATAAAAGGGGTAGGGCTATTCCCTGTAGAGATAGCTTCACATTCCCTCCTCAGCCACAGTGCAACACCCCTGCCCACCCATCAGCCTCAGCCCCCTGCAGTTCACTTTCCTATCTCGCAAGAGCTCCCAGCACTGAGCCAGCAGAAAAGGGGAGCTATCTTTCCCTACTGGGTGACATAATTGACTCCCAGTTATCCAAGTGAGCCACAAAAGATGACAGTAATTCTGATGCTTTCTCCACACTCTGTTTATCTGCTGGGGGACTGTCTGTTTGGGGGTTCTTTCCAAGCCTCTGTTCAGTCTCAAGTTAGCTCTCCCTACTCCCTCCACTGATCAGGCCCCTTCCTGGGTCGTTAGTTGGTGAATCAAAGAAGGCAAATTCTTCAAACTGAAGTCAGCAAACTAGAAGGAAGAAAGTGACTCTGATGCTGCTGCCAGAATAATCATACAAGTTTTTTACAAATTATGTATTTTTAAAAATTGCAGTCATATATCTATAATATAAAAATTTACCATTTTATGTTAACCATTTTAAAATGTACTGTTCAGTGGCATTCAGTACATTCACATGGCTGCGTAACCATCTTCACATCCATCCCCAGAACTTTGTCCTCTCCCCAAAGAGAAACTCTGTACTCATTAAGCAGTAGCTGCCTTTTCCTCTTTCCTTCAGCTCCTGGCAGCCACCCGTCTGCTTTTTGTCTCTATGAATTTGACTACTCTAGGTAACCCACATAAGTGGATTCATACAGTGTTTGTTTTTTGTTTGTTTGTTTGTTTTGAGACGGAGTCTTGCTCTGTCACCAGGCTGGAGTACAGTAGCACAATCTCGGCTCACCGCAAACTCCACCTCCCGGGCTCAAGGGATTCTCCTGCTTCAGCTTCCTGAGTAGCTGGGACTATAGCCATGCGCCACCATGCCCAGCTAAGTTTTGTATTTTTAGTAGAGACCAGGTTTCACCATGTTGGCCAGGATGGTCTCAATCTCTTGACCTCATGATCTGCCTGCCTTGGCCTCCCAAAGTGCTGGGATTACAGGTGTGAGCCTCGAGCCTGGCCTTTTTTTTTTTTTTTTTTTTAAATGACTGACTTACTCACTTAGCATAATGTCATCAGGGACCATTCATGTTGTAGTGTTAGAATTTCATTCTTTTTTTCAGGTTGAATTCTCTTCTATTGTATGTATATACCACATTTTGTTTATCCCATTCATTTGTTCATGGGTAGTTACCACCTTTTGGCTATTATGAAGAATGTTGCTCTGAGCATTGGTGTCCAAATGTTAATCGAGTTCCTGCTTTCGGATCTTTTTGGGTATATACCTAGAAGTGGTATTGCTGGATCGTATGGTAATTCTATGTGTTTGGTTTTTTTGTTTGTTTGTTTTTTGAGGAACCACCACGCTGTTTTCCACAATGGCTGTACCTTTTTGACATTTCTACCGGCAATGAATGAGAGTTCTAATTTCTCCACATTCTCCCCAACATTTACTATTTTCTGTTTTGTTTGTTTTTATAATAGCCATCCTGGCCAGGCACAGTGGCTCATGTCTGTAATCCCAGCACTTTGGGAGGCCGAGGCGGGTGGATCACTTGAGGCCAGGAGTTGGAGACCATTCTGGCCAGCATAGTGAAACCCCGTCTCTACTAAAAATGCAAAAACTAGCTGGCGTGGTGGTACGCGCCTGTAATTGCAGCTATTTGGGAGGCTAGGCAGGAGAATTGCTTGAACCCGGGAAGCGAAGGTTGCAGTGCGTCGAGATTGTGTCTCTGCACTTCAGCCTGGGCGACACAGCAAGACTCCATCTCAAAGAAGAAAAAAAGAAAGGAAAAAAGCCATCCTGATGGAGATGCAGTGGTTATCTCATTGTGGTTTTGATTTCTCTGGAGGTTAATAATAAGGAGCATCTTTATGTACTTATTAGCTGTTTATAGATCCTCTTTGGAGAGATACCTGTTCAAGTCCTTTGCCCATTTTTAAATTGTGTTGTTTATTTTTTGTTGAGTGTTAAGAGTTCTTTACATAGGCTAGATATTAACCTTTTATCAGACATATGATTTGCAGATATTTTCTTTCATTCTGAGAGTTGGGTTCCCTTTTCATTCTGAAGATATATCTTTTGTGCACAAAAGCTTTTTATTTTTATGAAGTTCAGTTTATCTATTTTTTTCTTTTGTTGGCTGTGCTTTGGGT